CTGCACCTCTTTGATTATTTTTGGATTAGTTTGGAGTCTGACACTATAAAAATGACAATGACTGAAGCCAAAACACTAAACTTCTAAAACTGTTCCGAAAACCTATAGGTGACATCATGGATCATGTCCATCCTTATATACATTCAATGGGATAATCTAAATATTTTATCTGACAGAAATCTGTGCATTTTCATGTTATTTCTGTCTATAATGCTTGAGTAAATGAAACCCTTAAAACTTGTCATTTATGTATATAAATCCTACAAGAATCCCTGAAGCTCACCAGACAACATGTAAAGCCACCACACAGTGCATTAGTGTACAACACACAACTTCCACGCAGTGTATTATGTAGGAAGTCAGTGAGCGTGGACAGTTTTCACACAGCTACAGTCAGTGCTGTGCCCCGAGGTCAGTCATGTGACTGCGAGTGATCTCCCGCTGTGAGCGCAGCAGAAATGTGTGAATGCAGCACATTAGCGAAGCAGCACAAGCTACATCCCATCAACCTCAATGTGTCCATGTGTTATTCATTACTACCCCGCTCCCCCTCATCTGACTCACAAACACGGTCGCCATAAATAAAATCTCACTCACTTTATCCCACACGCAGCCTCGTTCACCAAACCAAATTGCGCATCACGACGTCTGCGAATAAATCAGTTTCTCAATATTGAACATGGACACAGAATGAGGAGGCACTTGAGCTGCCTTGATGTCCTACCCTAATAACCACCATATATTATACATTACCAGTCATGCTAATGAGGTCATTCATCAATTTGCTATTAACTATGTCTGCGTTATTGGGCTCTTGTTCCCATAGCACAGCATGGGTGGCATTCATGTGACTTCTCCTAACATTATCGCAAGTCTCCCAGAAAACAGTCCTTATTATTATGCAAATGTGCTACTCTGAGATCTAATTAAATTATTAAATCTACAGAAGGTGCCCTTGGTGTAAGTTCATATCATGTTTGGAGTTAATGTGGTAATAAGAATGTGGATACACAAAAAAGACACTTGAGACACTACGATGATAGCTTTAGTTATGACTGTGTGGCATGGCAGCGGGGCATAAAAACATGTTAAAAATCCAGCCCTGTTTCTTTCTAAATCTATTATTAATGTTCCCTCCACTTCAACTGTTCTCTCTCTCTGTCCCCTGTGAAGGACTCTTGTCAGAAGCCTGCATGCTATGAGAAGACAGTTACTCTAAGTAAGGAGCCGTATGACTCTCTGGGTATGACGGTGGCGGGCGGCATGTCCAGCCGAGGGTGGGACCTCCCCATCTACGTCACGAACGTGGACCCAGATGGAGTGGTGGGACAGGAGGGCTCCATCCGTAAAGGTAAAATGAAAGTCTAATCATTCAATCATGTAATTATCAGAATAGTGCTCATATCTTTCAGTACAATGAATGTAATGTTCAGTGTTTGTGTGAAATAATTGCTCATTTAGCGGATTAGCTTTGCATTGTTACTGTTGTGCAAATCAGTGGAGCATTATGGCGGGCAGACTGTCGTGGATTTGGCTTTGGTGATGAATACTTTGTATATAACACGGGAGGGAGGGGTTTGATTGATGAACACTTAAGACTCGTGTTTCATTATGAAGGTTATTCATCCAACAGAAAACTCTGGTGCTGCTGTGGTTCAGTGCCCTGCAAATTGGCTCTAACACATTGAAAAAAAAACCCCACAAACATAGATTAGCATAGTAGTGCTCAGGACTGATTGTGTTCCAGAGGAGAATTTGTTTAAGTGCTTAATTATTTTGTTCTATGAAATCAGTCAGGTCTGCAGGACCAAAACATGGAGAAGCACAGTGTTATTGCTGCAGTCCTTATATCCTATAATGCAGTGGAAGGCAGGGGAGTGGGAGATTTTCACCTCAACTGCTGATTCCAGCGCATCCATCTTAAAACATAACCACATTAAGCCCGTCATTACACTCAATCCCCGCCTGACTGAAGCCCTGTTTATGAGAGGAGTGAGAGAAATGTTGTGGTGGTCGTAATTCATATAAAGACTTCATGAAAGCAGAAGTAAATTGAGTCTGCTGTCCTGTGCATGGTTCAAGGTGCACATTACTGTATTCATGTGGGACACAGCAGCAGCAGCTGTCTCTGTTTGTGCGGTTATGAAGCATGTTTGTGTATTGTAATGGAGTATTAATTTGAATATCCTCGCAGGGCAAATGTGTCCTTTGAGTTGCTTACTAGCAAGCTGGACTGTGCTGTCTATTTATCTTTGCACCACTTTCATCACTGGGAGGCTTTTTAAAGCACAGGTGGCGCTCGGTTTGCATCCCTTTTGTGTTCCAGCACGGAGGCTGATGAATATTAAATAGGCAGATGATGAGTCCCTGTAATGTGAGGTCTTTTAAAAAGCTATTATCAGGGCAGCAACCCCAGGCAGAGGATGAGCTGTGCTGTCCACTTCTTCCCCCCCACAGGTGACATTTTGTTAAACGTGAACGGGGTGGACTTGACGGGGGTGACGCGAGGTGAGGCCGTGGCCAACTTGAAGAACACCTCCTCTCCCGTTGTGCTCAAGGTCTTGGAGATGCGTCCTCCGGAGGATAGCCTGCAAGAGTGTACGTTGCCACCTTGTCTCACACCGTCGCCCACAGATAGCACCAAGAGCCCAGTGCCCAATGACGATTACTCCCCACTGTGGGTGTCGTGGCTGCAGCTACCCAGGTGAGCATCCGCTGTTGTCTTTCCATCCGCTCCGTCTACATTTTTACACTTTATCTGAGCCCAATATAATTTACACCCCCAGCACCGGTCCCTTTGACCCCTGTCAGCTGGCCAAGTGAAATTTTGACAGAGCCAACTGGGCCAGCTCATTATACTTTTAAAACTAAGTGTTCATCCTAAATATTCACCACTGCTATATCGGCAAAACTTTGAAGAATTAAAAACTCACTCTGTGATTGCAGTGTGTGAATTTGTTTTTACACTACAGTACGCTGTCAGGAAGACGGCGGTGCGCTGATAGCAGTAAACAACTGCTGCTCCTGCTTTTATAAAATAAGAAAAAATAAAATTGTGTTTCTCCCATAACAGTGAATTGATTATAAGTTGAAACCAAGTACTGAGTTGCCGTGAAAATGCAGCCTCGACCACTGGGGCGACTGAAAGGATTTAAATGTAATTTTCATTTAGCTCTGGGCTGTCTGTACGGGACTGATATAGAAGTCCAACTACTCTCGCTGCCTCACATCTTCAGGGAGGAAAAATCACACCTTCATTTAAAAAGCAGCCAGGTCCTCTGAGCCTGACTCGTCTCAGCAGTCTAGCTACTGCACACGTACTCGGTATAGATATACAGTATATGTAATTTAAAGATGCAGTTGAGAGATTAGTGTTTCTAATCTCCCTCTTGGCTGATGCAGGCATCTCTACTGCTGCAAAGACATCGTCCTGCGGCGGAGCACTTCAGGCAGCCTGGGCTTCAGTATTGTGGGAGGTCAGGAGGAGGTCAACTGCAATCAATCCTTTTTTATCCGCTCCATCGTGGAGGGGACACCAGCCTACAATGACGGCAGGATAAGGTATTCAGCCAGTGTATATCACTTTTGCCTATGAAAAGAATGTTTTAGACCAGCTTCAAAACGCTCTGTTTATGTAAATAAAACATCTTTGTAGCACCGATGAAATATTCTTATTTTTGATGGCTGTCTCTCTCTCTGTAGGTGTGGAGACATCCTGCTTGAGGTGAACGGGAAGAGCACTTGGGGGATGACTCACACGGCTTTGGTTCGCCTTCTAAAGGAGCTCCGGGGCAGAATCACCCTGACCATCGTCTCGTGGCCGGGCAGCCTGCTGTAGCAGTGCTCCAAGCAATCCAGCACTGCTTTAACGGCACTGACCGAGGAATGTGGAAGGCAGAGCTTTGGACTGGCTGACCACCTTAAGCTTGTTGTGTGGGAGGAGCTTAGAATAGTGCTGTAGCTGTTTGGATATCTCACTTCTGATGGACAGATTTGCCAGGAGTTTGGAGAGGGACAGACATAAGACTGGATTGTTACCAGTGGTTAACTTGCCCCTCTGAGAACGCTGAACTGGGAGGATCCAGGCCTGAGCCACTTCTAAATGAGACGTTGGGTGTTATCTGTTTAGAGGACATGGTCATTCTCTGGAACAGCATCCAGCCAGTGGGGTGGGAGGATCGAGAGGAGACACAACACGTTGCCAATTCCAGTAGTTATACTGTATATTACGATATGCGTTAAGTTGGACACACATTTCTTTACTGTAAATGTTGGGTGTCTAAAAAAGTACTGATCCAAGCACTTGTAATATGTTTTTTTTTTTTGTTTGTTTGTTTGTTTGTTTGTTTGTCGTATGGCCTTTAAATGTAGGCTTTATTCTGTTTGTACTGACAGTGGTTGTCATCTTCATCCGTTGACCTGAGGACACGTTGCCGAGTAGTAGTCTGTGAGGTTTTTTTTCTGTTATTTCAGAAGCTATGGCTAAATTATCAAACCACTGGCAAGAAAATATATGAAAAAAATAAAGGATCAATGTGTTCATAATATGTTTAAAAAAGATAATATTTAATTAGGTGACATTGTGGAGGCCTTACTAATTTTCTTACTTTTAAGAAAAAAAAACTGACTTGGTTTCTGTGTATCAGTGGATGGTCTGAGGTTCATCTGCTGTGGTTCTGTCTGTCACACTTCGGCCTGTGTAGTATATCTGATGGTACATTTGGTTAAATGATCAATAAAGTCATTTGAAAAAGATATGAGTGTGAGAAACTGATTACAAGCACAGTTCACTGGGACAGCTACATGCACAAGCACTACAACACATACATATTATCCAACAAAAAACAAAACATATACATAAAGTTACATTTAGTTTTTCTAACAAATTCATAGTCAAATTTAAAAACATGCTGAGGATCAGTTTAGTTTTTGAATTAAATAAGGACTGTTTTGTCTGTGAGAAGCCAAAGGGCAGGTCTTCTCATTAAACAGACTGAGAGTCAGTGAGATTTTAATTTCCTTTCTTGGTCAGCAGAGATGTTGCTTTCCCTGCCCTTCCTACTTCTCCTGGCCTTTTTGTGCGAGTGTCTACTTTCCTTGTCCTCATCATCATCCCTCCTACTCCTGCCGCTGCCACTGCTGCAGTTAAGGACATAGATGATAAGAGAGATAATTCTGTTGTTTTATTGTTTTATTTTTGTTTAAAGTGTGTGTGTGTGT